TGGTTTGGGTTTTTTTTTATTTTATTTTATATGTACCCTCTTTTTTTTGAGTTTTTAATGTGTCTTGTACTGTGTGGGTTTGGTGTCTACTTTTGGGTTCACTCATACAACCTATCTATATTACTTTTTTTTAATATATTAGCCCTTGGGCTTTCTTTAAGTGTATATATATATATATATAGAAAGCTCAAATGCGAATATATTAATAAAAGGAAAGGTACAGATATTTTGGATGGAAGGGTCCAAATTAGCACCATAATCACCCGGCATAGAACACGTAGAAATACATGTATCCCAAAAAAAAAATTAAAAAGAAGACAGAAAAAAGTATGTCAATAGTCTGCCAAGACTCGCAGATTCAATTAGCACGCGAAAGATCCAATTTAGTCTTGCCTCTGCTTCTGGTTCTAGGACGGGAGCAAGCTTACAACTTGTTAAGTTTGTTGTCATTACCCGAAACAACTAATGTATCATCCATCAAGTTTGGTAATAGGCCTCCATTCTTCTTCCTCTTCCTAGATGGCTAAACCTGTCATTCTTCATCCAAGGATTGACTCATCTTATCAATGGATTGGTCCAAAGGTGGTCGGACAGTTGTAGGTTGTTGCACATCATGAGCCCCATGTGTCTGAGTAACAGTAACAACTTGTTCGTCCTGATGAGGCGGTAGAAGCGCAGTAGAACTATTGTCATTCGTTACATCAATGATAGGTTCTAAGGCAGGTGAAGTCTGAAATGTCTCCCCCGCCTCCCCCGCCCCCAGTTTCATAGACGGGGAACCTACATCATGATTGTGTGGAGGTTGAATGGTTGACATATTATCTACGAGAATAATGACATCTTCAAGAGTATCATTCTGATGATCAATAGTGTCATAACTTAAAGCGGATATGGAGGAGGGGGAATCACTGTCTTTGGTTGAGCACTTTGCTTCTTTGGTCTCAGATAGGGGTGTAGATTGTGATATTGAGAACTAGAGTGGCCGAGCATACGACAATTCGAGCAATATGAAGGGAAATGCTCAATCACAACTTTTTGTCTATATTTATGGTGTTGTGTGTTTAACCAAATTCCTCAGAAGTGATTGAAGTGATGTCCCTGTCAACAAGTACTCTGGCTTCAGAGGGATGGGAAAGATTATAAGTTGGAATGTCCATTTTGAGTGGTTTATCATAGGCTGAGGCAATAGTATACAACGTTTTTTTAGTAAAATAATGAAATTTCAGACCAGGAAGACAGATTCAAACCGGAATAATTGGTGGTTCGTCTATGGGTCAAAATCCATCGACCATTTCAAAATCTTCATAGCTCAGTTATCAATCCAGATTAATCTTTAGTAAATAAATGTATGTAATTCTCTTCTTTATTAAGTTGAATAAAGATGTTCCTTGCATCTAAAAGTCCAATTTTTCACTTCCTAACAAGGTGTGTAAGCTCAAATTCCTTCCGAATAAACTCCATTTTAGGATGGTTATAAAGAAATTTCCCGACCAAATTCGTAAAAAAGATTGTTGAATTCTCATTCTTTCTATCAGGTTTCTTGATTTCTTCCGCCAACTCAAACGAATGAGGGAAAAAGCACGATTTAGGAGTACCTGAAGCGTGGACACCCGCAAGGGCAGCAGCATACGATCTGTCCAAAGCCATCACCAAAATAGGGAGGCGCGGTGATAGGACAGCTAAGTAACAGTGAACGGAAGAGCAAAAGCCGAAATAGGGATCAACGGTACCCCCGTCCAAGTCGAGCAGAGGGCGGAAATATGAAATACGAACTCTCTGCTTCGAGCCTGAGGAAAGGACGAGTCTGCGCCCGATGTCCTTCAAAATGATGAAGGACCGTGAGAGAAACAGACCTTCCAAACAGGGACGAAGGACTGCGGCGAGAACGAAATCGGAAACTGCGACGGCGACGACGGAGGACTGTGGCGAGAACAGAACAAACCTTCCAAACGGCGATGACGGCGAATGACTGCGGGGCAAATGCAGCGAGACAGACCAGAGGAAAGGATCTTCAAGTGTAACGATGCGTTAAGACGCCGTAACAGACGCTAGGGTTCGCCATGAGACAAAACCCTAGCAAAGCCGAGCACGGGAGAAGATGTCATATATTAAATTATTATATATATATATATATATAAACCTAGGCAAATTTATTGAAGAGAAAAGGGTACAGATAGGTTGTATGAGTGGACCCAAATAGGCACCCAACCCATAGGGTACAACACACACAAAAAGAAAAGAAAAGAAACTTAAAACCCAAAAGTAGGTGGTACATATAAGATCAACCAGGTCGACCCACTTTAGTTTTGTCTCTGCCTCTAGTTTTCGGAAAGGAACCAGCTAACAGATTGGTCAGGTGTGTACTATTGCCCGAAGTAACCAGAGTACCATCCATTAGATTTCTTAGCTCAAGCAGATCTCCATTTTTCTTCTTCCTTCTGGACGTGTAGACCTGTCATTCTTCATCCGAAGATTGTTGCTCATTTGGATGAGGTGGTAGTACTGCAGTAGAAAGATTGCCAACAGTTGTGCCCACAAGTGTATGTGAGGTAAGAGTTGTCGCATCTACCCTAATACTTCCTGGAGATGAGGAGCTGCAAGGTTCTTCTGATTATCAGTCTGTGTAGGTAGGGGTCCTTCATTATTATTTTCAATAGGGTTTGAAAGTGTAGGTTGCTCAGCAGGGCCATCCAGCTTCTCACCGATCGCAGAAACAGTATTTCCAGGGGGAGGGTTGAAAGGGGCAATATAATCAGACACCAAATCATGTCCTGTTGTAGTTTTCTCTCCATATGGAACAGATATATCTTTAGATACATCCTTATTCACTTGATCTTTATATTTTAAATTAGGATGAAGCTTATGGCATTTATCAAGGGTATGCCCAAACATCTTACAATGAGAACAATAAGGTCTATGCTCCATGTCGATTTGTTGACAATATTCATTATGTGTTGTGCCCAACTAAACTTCAGTAACATCAGGCAAAGTACTATCTCTTTCCACAAGTATTCTGGCCACAAAAGGTCTGGTAAGGTTGAAAGTGGGTAGATCTAGCTTCATAGGATCCCCAAGTATGGCACCAATAAAGTAAAGAAGCTGATGATGAAAAAAGTGCAGCTTGAGACCAGGTAGACTAAACCAGACCGGTACAATAGGAGGTTCATGATTGGGGTGACCACTTGAGTAGCTTCATCGGTTTGTCAGCAATGTTAAGATATTTTTTTGGAGAAAATCCGAGTGTAATTTTCAGACACGGTTAACAAAATCAAAACATGTCTTCCATCCCTGAGTCCTACTTTCTCTTTCCTGTTAATTTGAGGTCATCAATTTTTTTCCTGATAACTTCCATAGGTAGGTGTCCCCACTGAAATTTCTGACTCAGAGAAAAAGAGTGTTGTTTTCCCGTTTTTCCTGCTTGCATTCTTAATAAAGGGGCGGTCACATGTACCATCACGATTCTCCTTATAACTTGAGGGAAAAACAACCGCCGTGTTCTCTCGTGGTCCTTCGTCGTTTTGAAGGATGTTGGGCGCAGGCTCGTCCTTTCCTCGGGCTCGAAGCAGAGAGTTCGCATTTCGTATTTCTGCCCTCTGCTCAACTTGGACGGGGGTACCGTTGATCCCCCTATCAGCTTTTGCTCTTCCGTTCACTGTAACTTCGTTGTCCTATCGCCGTGCCTCCCTCTTTTGGTGATGGCTTTGGACAGATCATGTGTTGCTGCCCGCAAGGTGTCCACGCTTCAAGTATCAGTGCCTCCTTTGTCGGGACCGAATTGGCTTAGGTTGGCAGATGCGCGATTTGTTGTGCCTTGGTGATGTACGTCTCACGGCTGTGGTTTGTATGTAAATGTTGTTATTTGGTTAGGCGCTTACAATAAATGCAAGAGATGCACCCATATGGGGATTAAAATTAATGTGATCAAAATAGAAAGGAAAAGATCAGGAAAAAAAAAAGGACCAAAGGTAGTATGGTAAGCTGTGAAATAGCATGTGTGGACTAGAATTAGCATAGCTTGTGACACTCAACTACACTCAGTAAAGAAACATTATGAAAGGAAGCGCCGCAAATAAAGCTAATGATGGAGACAAGTTTTTATATACAATTAAAACTTGAATCATAATAATTAAACCTTTAAATTAAATAAAATGAATAAATCATAGAGTTCTTAATCAAATATGACAAATCAGAGTAATGATAAATTTCGTCGGGGTTGTGGTGGTGCATGCCCATTGATAACCTCTCTTTTGTTGATTATTTATTGGTATGAAATAATTTAAAACGAGTTTGTTAATTTCTTGTATGATTGATTAGCTTTTCTAAGGGAAGATTTACATACATACCATTCAATTTCTATTTATTTTATTTACATATCTAACACCTAAATATCTAACACCTAAACTTCAATTTTTACATATTTGCCAAGGTGTATTACACTTTTTAAAAGTTAAATAGTGGTATTTTCTATGTGCTACAAGGATATGAAAGATTTAGGTGATATAAATATAAAAAGTAAAGTTTACGTGTTTGGTATGTAAATACATAGGAATTAAGTGGTATGTATGTAAATACCCTGAAAAAGACAGTAATTGCAATCCATAAATCTGCATTTTTATCAATGCTACCTTGAAAGATTTCTCTCAGTATATTTGCTCTTTTTTTTTTTTTCTGGAATGTTAACATCAATAGATTGATGTATGGTTATCAATCATGATTAATTTGTGATATTTACATACAAACCAACAAATTCCTATGTATTTACATTTCTAACACTTAAAACTTTTGCTTTTTACATTTATACCACCCAAATCTTTCATATCACATAAAAAATACCACCATTTTAACTTTTAAAATTAAAAATTAGGTGTTAGATATGTAATACATATGAATTGAGTGGTGTGTCCTATTAATTTTAGACTCCTTAACCACCTTCAAATTCTTCAAAATAATCATGGATTTCTAAAACATTTTTCCATCTGATTCTTTTCTTTGAACTGCAGGAGAAGGCAGAAAAAGCGGCCAAAGAAGCTGATGCAGCAAAAGCAGCATGGTCCTGCCGTGTTTGCTTCAGTTCTGAAGTTGACACCGCCGTTGTTCCTTGTGGCCACGTCCTCTGCCATAGATGCTGTTCTGAAATTCACCGTTGTCCTTTCTGCCGCCGCTCCATCTCAGAAAAGCTGAAAATTTTCCGCCCATGATGAGAATTTCACCATGATAAATATATATGTATGTATATATATAGATATATATATTTATATACATATGTATATGATATTTTTTATGGTTGATTGAAGATTTAAGGAAAAAGGAGCTGCACATGTAGAGAAATATGAAAGGAAAGGAACAGATTTTACAGAAGAATTCTCAAGGTATGTACATTACACTTAGAAAGATGTAGTTGTAAGAGCTATTTCTGATTTCAGAAATAAAACTGTAAAGACTCCATTTATTATAGTGCATGTTCTTGGATGATGAAGCATGGGTCTTCAAATTTGCAGGCTTATGATGTTAATTATTATGCCAAGCTGCATTTTTTTTCATAATAACTAGATTTAGTGGCTGTTACATTTAATATTTCATATAAAGAATGTGTATAAGATTAGTTTGATGCAAATTTGTATGAGGATGAGTTTGTTAAAGCTCATGTGGGGCATGCGATGTTTTTTTGTGAATGAAATTTGTCGTATACATCGTATTTTTGGAAGATTTGCATATGTAATAATCAATACCTATGTATTTACATATCTAACACCTAAACTCATTTTTTGCTTGGCGGGTCTAGCGTTGGGGTTGAGGTTGAGTTGATGGAAAAGCGACGTTGATAAACTCCTGGCATCTTGTCTGTAATTCATAAAAATACATCGTGGTGCTTCCTTAAAGTTGAGACTTGAGATCAAATGCTCCTGCTCAAGATGTAAGTTGAAGCTGATTTGAAAGGTGTTCACATTTGCCTTCAAAGACAGACACTGCTTAGTGGCTTTGATGGTCTCCAAACTGATCTCTTTATGGGCTTTGAGTTTGAGAGAATTCTTTTGTAAGTTCCCTAGTGTCCATAAGTAGCATGTGTGAGATTGGAACAAGTCTCCCCGAAGGGTGATGATCTCCTCCTCTAGGGAACTTAACAATCATGTGATAGGTGGAAGTGTCGCCTTGAACACACTAACGAGTCGTCTGCCAAAGATGGCATTGTAAGTGGTTAGAGCATCACCCGCTATGAAATTTGCCATAGGAGTTTATTGTTTGTTTGCTTCTTCCCAAGTTTTCAGTAGCGAGTTGACTCCATAGGTCTCTTCTTTCAATGGAGCTTGTTGGATTCTTAGCTGAGTTTGACAGTTCATCTGTGGCTTTTGAGCGCTAACGAATTGAGCTATGAATATTCATTTAAACTTACAAAAGGGGTGATAACATTAACTAACAAGTTATTAAACTAGCACAAAGTTGACTCCTTGAGCCTTGTGAGGAATAAGGTGTTTATTCGTAGCAGATAGCATGTTGATTTGAAAGAGGCTATATGATTTGTAGGAACGATTCTTTCTTTATAAGAGCCCATAGAGAGAATTTTGAACCTTTTGGAGGGTTATGCTTCAATGATTTATCGGGAGAAGACATACTTTGGTAATCTCCTCCTCTATGTTCTTCTTCCTTCATCTTATGAGGAATCAGACGTCTTTTCTCCAAGAATGTACGGTGTGTCATCATATTCTCCCAGTACTTAACTCGTATTCCGAACTTGGGGCTCTCCTTACCCAAACTCAAGGTGGCTCTTTTCAAAGTGGTTGATCTCTCTATTGTTTTTGTTTTTGTTTTTGTACCATTGAGCCTGATGGGCTTGTATGGCTTCTCATATAGTTTTTTATATATGTTTTCGATACCACTTACCCTACTTCTTCTATCCTTATAGTTAACAACTCGGAATATAGCGTCATAAACTTTTTGATACAATCCATCGTTCTTCTCGTTTCTCCTTGAAATAGAGGATCTCTAGACTGGTTTTGATAATGAGATCTACGCTTACCACACCTTTTAGGAGTTGAATCCTTTTGTGACGTTAAATCCCGTATAATTCATGAACTCATATAATTTGAGAGAGATCTTAAATAATGGCCATAAATGTGATTTAGCTTTTTGAGGAGTGCAAAATTGAGTGTGTTAGAAAAATAACCCCTCATGTTTCCTCCTCCCTTCTTATTAATATACTCAGGAGTCTATGTACCCGCGCATAGGTTTAAAAAAATCCAAAAATTAGGTTATAGGCTATGTTGTCATGTCGTTAATAAATAATTTTTTGATTACTAACAGATGAAAAATCTCTTTCCATTGCCTCAGAGAGTTACTTATCAAGTTTGGTGGTAATGTCAGATAATTATCAAGGACTTTGAGAAGAATGTTCAACTCTCATACAGGTACAGAACAAAATTTTGGCCAGTGTTTTCTCTCTGCCGAGGACATCATAAACAAAGAAATACATGAGAGAAATTGTCTGGTAATTACAAGGCCTTGATTCTCAAGTTTGAGCTCAAGTTTGAGCTCGAGCTCATCGCTTGAAAAGCTTGATTCACAAGCTCTACTCGGCTCCTTTACACCCCTAGTAAATACATACGAATTATGTGATATGGATGTAAATTTTCCTTTTAGATATTTATTATTTAGTTTGCACATATGTAAACCATCAAAAAATTCACTTTTTTCATAATTATCATATACAACATATTAAATATAATTACATGTTCTTAATTTCATAATCTAAAAGTGATAAAATAGTTCAAATCAACAATTATGTTACTAATTTTTTTGTGTGCTCATGTTTTTTGATACAATTGTTATTACTCATTAACATGTGGAAAGACAAATAAAAGGGTTCATTATACTTTAGAAGTAGAACACACACCACTAATCATTATCCAAACCCCAAAAGAAAAAAAAAAAAACTCACATAATTACAAAAGCAAGAACTCACCCCAAAAAAAAAAAAACATACAACATAAGAGTCACATTAGAGCGTCCATCTTCTTAATATGGCTTATTCTTTTAACTTTATGCTATGTCATACAAAATAAATTCACAGAGCAGTCTCCCATCACTTCCAAGGTATGTTCATTCCTATGAGCGCTCCTGCTCCACCTGCATTTTCTAAGCATTTGAAATTTTTGCCATTAGATTTATCTTTGTATGAATGATTCTGCTAAAATGTGATGATAGCTTTAAGATAATCCATTCTGAACACTACTGATAACCGGTGGGGCTTAAAAAAACTGACAAAAGGCTTTTTTTTATTATTGTTATTATTTTTTGCTGCATTCTAATAAATTGGATTAGAAAAAACTGTAAGAAAATAGAAAAAGAAGTTATTGCAAACTAGATAGCTACAATCTAGGAGTGCAAACTTGTTGCGGTTACGGTTTAGGTTTGATTGATTCATCGAGTTCCAACTCGAGCTTAATTCTAAAAGTAAGGAACCGGTTTAATAGAATGGATAATTAGTATATAAACAATAAGAAATCCCGTAGTGATAAAATAAAATTATAAACTTTTTAAAAATTTAAAAAGAAAACTTAGATTTTAATATATATATTACATATTTTTAAAATAGCCAATAAGAAGCTAGTTGTTAGGCTTGTTAGCTCATGAGCTGAGAGCTTCGTTAGCTCGCGAGCTTCAACAAGTTAAGCTGGTTTAAATTAGATTCGTTAGCTCATTTAGCTCAGCCCACAGGCTAACAAAGGAGTTGGAGCTGGTTTGGACTTGGCTTATTGAATCATCAAGCACTTTAAAAATGTAAATTAATAAAAAAAAAAAAAAAAAGAGAAAGACACTAAGAATGGATCACCTTCTTTGAGCGAGCAAGCCGAAGAAATTTGTTCCTAACCTTATTGGGTGAGGAGAGATTACTAACTTCCTTCTCTGCCTTCTTTTGTGCTGCATATGGACCATATCCATACCGTCTCAGCTGCTCCCTCACAACCTTGTTGTAAATGAAGGCTGATCCCCTCAGCTGAGGAAGTACCAGCCATGTCACAAACATGAATTTTATCGGGTACCAGATGGGTATCCTTCAAAGCCAATTGAATAATCATAGTGTTAGAAAACATATGATATTTTATTAAGGTACTAGTAATAAATAAAATGTACATCCATACCATTCAATTTCTATATATTTACATATTTAACTCTTAAACTTTAATCTTTACATATGCATGATGTGTATTACACTTTTAAAAATTAAAATGATGGTATTTTTTTATGTGATTTGAAATATTACGGCGGTATAAATACAAAAAGTATATCTTTTGATTGTAGATATGTAAATACATAGGAATTGGATGGTATGTCCGTAAATGCCCCGAGAAATAATACTTGATGGGCAAAAATATATCTTTTCTAACACTCAAAAAGCAATCCCCGAAGCCATTTTCTGTTTTTCATTTTCCAATAAGCAAAAATAGCATTTGCTTGAGAAAGTTGTTTTTAAAAATACTCAAAACATCTTTTAACAATATATTTTCGACATTCCCTAAATCTTTCTACAATGAAAATGAGTTAACTCCCAATCATATTTTCAACAATATATTTGTATGTATTCACCACCCCTACTAGATGCCAAATGTGGACCTTATTCTGTGGTGCATCCTCTTGGTTTGGGTCCCATCATTTTTAATAGCTTTCAGCTATAGGGACTCATTTTGGTGATTTTGGAGATTGTGAGCTAGCTTCAAAGAACTTCATGTTCGCCAAAAAGTCATTATCCCAAACCTCCACTTTTTCAGTACCTTATGTATTAGGCTATTAGAGGTTAAAAGTTTACTTTCCTGATCTAAATATGAATATTGCAGGAACACACCACATAGGTAGTACCCACGGGTATTACCCATAAAAAAAATTTATAAACCTCCCCCCTAGACATGCTAATGTAAGGATGATGCTAGAGTGCCATATAAAATAGGGAAGATTACATGCATAGCACTCAATTCTTATGTATTTACATATCTCACATACAAAGTTTCATTTTTACACACGCAGCACTTTACCTACGCATGAAAAGATGAATTTCACTATTAAAAGATGATAATGAATGCTACTTTTTATATTATATTTGAAACTATAAAAGTTTTGATGTGAAAAAAGAAAATATGAAAGTTTTTGATGCTATGTAAAAGCAATTAGATATGATGGCATGGGGGATACATATCAAATCAAAAAAGGTGACTTATAGATAACCAAATGCTAAGCTAATGCAAAATTTGATAAGAAGCAAGTCATTCAATATGAATTATATTACGAGAGAAATCAAACAAATAATCCAAAAGAACAGAGATTTTTATAATTAAGAGCATACGATGCAATTTAAGACATACATCTACCTTATATTTTCTAAAATTCTAAAGCACTTTCATGTTAAAATTTTAATTTCTTTTTGATTTATTTAATTGTTTGCATTGTCATTATTTCAAATGGGATAGTAAGTTTTCTTAATGTTTATTGAGTTTATCTAGACTCAAATTTAAAATTAAATTTATAAATAATATTCCTGCCAATAAAGCAGGATCAATGTCATTTGGATAATCAATCATTGATAACATTTAAAAAGATTACCTTCCTTCATAAATTGATAAAGTCTAATAGCTTTATTAAGATATTAAATATTATCATTAGGCTCATCAATCTCAAAACTATTAGAATTTTAAGTAGCATGCATATGATTTTTGATCATCTCATGATGACATTGATATAATCATATAGTGAATTAGATGATCAAACATTGCATGTGCACCTAGACTTGTTTGTTGTTTGAAGAAATTACATATATACCACCCAATTATTATGAATTTACATATCTAACACCTAAACTTTGAGCTTTTTATATTTATAGCCCTCAAATCTTTAGTATCACAAAAAATGCCATCATTTTTAACTTTTAAAAAGTGAAATACACCTTTTCATGCCTAGGCGAGGTGGAATGCATGTAAAAATCCACAATTTAGGTGTTCGATATGTAAATACACAGGAAATGAGTGGTATGTATGTAAGTCTTGTTGTTTTAAAATTTACAAGTTCACTTGAGGAAAAACCCAAAATCAATGACATCCAAAAAATACAGAGAGTTTTAGCTGAGCAGTCCATAATGATGCCTACTAAGCTCTTGATGCAAACACAAACAAGCAGTCCAATTTCTCTTAATTAGCTAAATAGTGAGCAAACAAAGAGATTAGAGGCAAAAAGACAAATACCATGCCAGCAAGGGCTCTGCAACCATCTCAAACAAGGTCAGGAAGGAGTAGATGATCCAGTAAGCCAGCCACTGCTCATCATCCACCTTCGATGGACTCTCTATCGCCTCAACCGACGCATACCTGCATCCATCCACCACCATCATAATCCAACCATCAAAAACATTCCAACCAAACGAAATCTTCTTCTTCTATACGAAATCAGAAAGTATAATTAATTAATTCCACTCACAAAGGGTATAATAGCATAACGCAGGGCCTGCGAATTAGGTGCAAAACCGTAAGCGGTCAGTCCAGAGCAAGTATAAATTAGGGCAAAATAAAGAGGACAAATCGGATTACCCTGCAATCGCGTAGAGTTGCGTAAGGATCGTCCATAGTTGCGCCATGATTCGTATATCTTGCTCCTTGATGAAGAACAAAAGGGGCCGGCGAGTGAAAGGTTTTAGCGAGGAAAAGAGAGGGATAAGAAGGATTTGAGAGCATGGAGAGATTTAAAAGGGAGGAAGGTTGAAAGGGGAAGAGGAGCGATGAGGTCAGCCGTGGCAGGTGGCGGATTCGCATTGAAGGGAATGTTGACGATGAAGAGAAGCGATGAGGTCGGCTAGAGGCAGGGGGGGGGGGGGCACAGGTGGCGGCGTCGCACAGAGCCGACTGTCGTTACCGCCGACACTTGTAATGCGCGTGGCTTCTTTTGTAACTTTTTAAAAGTTTGATTTAAGATATTGATGCATGAACATATTCTTAAAAAAAAATAGTAAAAGATAATAGAAAAAGTTTCATTAGTTTAATGATATTTATATCTTTTAGAAAAAATTTTATAAATTCTATCATTAAAACTTAAATTTTCAAAAATGGTAAATATTGCACATACGACGTGAGGAAATATTTGTCCACTGTATGATCGTGTTCGACCATAAAACTCGATTTTTTAATTTCCCGTCTCTAACATCATTTTCCTCCCTTAGAAGCTACCCATGCAAAGCCCGCGGATTGCTTTCATCTCATTGGCTTATTTTGCATACCACGTTGTTTTTTTCTTCTCGTGGTGAAACCATCCTTCCCATGATGTTAAGTTTCATTTAATAAAAAATGGATTTATTTGGAAATGATGGTATAAGAGGATTTATGAAACTAGTTTAAAGGTGACGTGATGTTTAGATAATCAAAGTCAATATCACTGCAATAACATCCAAGAGCACTAATTAAGACATAACACATGATATCACAAGTGGGTTAATCTTCCAAATGCTATTAAATTCCATGAATAATTTAAAGAGATAAAACAAATGCATCAAATATTTATAACTATTTTTTTCACTATGCATTTTGTTTTTTTTTCATTTCATATTGTTGCAACTTTTTTATGTACCATCTTTTCTCTCAAATGTTTAATTTGTTTAGCTTCTATATGCAATGAAATTATTATATCAACAAATTAAATTAATGATGCTTTCTACCACCAACTATTATGGAATAGAAGTTTGGCACGAAGACATCATAAGGACATATTAAATTAGTGATATTTTCATGCGCTAATTCTTATAGAATAGAAGTTATCTATATGTTTTTTCATGCATTGCATATTGTTTCAAGCTCTATGGTGCATATTAACTCATAATACTTCACTCATTTGATAGTTTAAGTAGCTTCACATAATGGGATTTCTAATCTCTAATTATAGATTTAGATATAAATCATCTACATCATTTTCATCAAGCCAGACTTTAGCATCACCAAATAAATAGGGGCTCATAAGCATACAAGGTCTACGAAATAATCAAGTCGACCCATAGAGTCCACACTATGCTTCCAGGGTCTAACCGGGCTATAAGGGCAAAAGGGCGAATCACTATATCCCAAATGGCAGCGGTCTATTCGCAATAGGCCTTAGAAAATGACATCAAGGAAGTCACAAAAGACGACATGGCTCAAAAGGGCTCAGGAAAAGGAGAGGTGGAGTAATCATAATATTGTAGAGATAGTCAGATCGAGATATCATAGATTCATCATCTCAAGCTACTAAGACCTTAAGTCTACATGGTCGTGAAGGTAGTCGATCCAACACAACCAGAGACTCCTTATCAACAATCTGTGAATTTCATCATCCAAGGGAATCTCATTAGTCCTAAGGTTAAAAGAAGAAAACTCTAAGTCCTTTGACCTATCAAGGTAGAGCTCACAGAGGTGAAACTTGCACTCGCCAAATAAATGGCGAACATGCCACCGGAAGGAAGAGAAAAGAAAGGTCCAGTTATAAAGCTGAAAACACACTCAACAAAGGACTTGCTTCTTGTCTAGGCCGAGGAGGCATCTGACACCCTAATCACACTAAATAAACCACCTAAGTAGAAATTTATGTTGGGTCAGGCAGGTTATAGAAACACGGGGGCTTCTCCTTAGGACATGCAAGTGTGATGCAGTTATATACCACAATCTTAAATGTAGAAGCCCTATTAATATGAATGGGGTGAAGGCTATGTCATGCAAATTATTTTAAAATTGGCCTGAAAACAATGCATAAAAGTAAAGTGCAGGTTTGAAATTTTTAAAATACTTTAATTCTAAAATTTTGATTAATCGTAATCTTTTATTAAGACAATTGGGGGAAAAATGTAAATTATAAAGATGACCTAATTGTTGATTTAAACATTTGGGATTTAAAATAGGATTAAAATTTTATAGGAGTTCATTACAAAAGTGATAAATATTCAATTTATAGTAAAATCAACTTATAGAATAGTAAAGAGATATATATTTATGATTTTCAAAAATTAAAAATATGTCCTTCCTTACTTTTAGACCCATAACATAGTTAAACATTGAAATTTTTGGAATCTAATCTCAAATGATTAGAAAAGTTAATGATAATGTTATGGTCTATAAAAAGCCTAAATTATAGAGCAAAGTTCTCAAATCAAGTACAATCAAATAACGACAAAAAAACAAACACACTACACAAGGAAAGTAAAGCAAGCCAAAACAAAATTAATAACAAGTCAGGTGCCTCTAGGTGGGCAATATATCCCAAAAAAGTAAAAGAATTGTTTGACACTACATACACATACATAGTCCTAAAGGCTATACGTTAAGGGGTTGTTTGATTTGCTGAAAATGAAGTACAATATAATAAGTTTGAAAAGTATTGTTATTACAATGTATTTGAAATACTTAATAGTTATTTTGTTCACTATAAAATAACTACATGACTTTATATTTTTTTGTTCGGTTTGAAGTAGATTAAAAATAAGGTAATAATTTATTTGGGAGGCGAGTGGTAGGCGGAGGACGACGATGGGCGGCAGTGACCCGAAATGGGTGTGTCGTGGAGGCAGTGACTCAAAAGGGTGGGTGTGTTGTGGAGGCAACGACCCTAAAGATGGGTGTGTCGTGGGGGCAGTGGCCCGAAGAGTTGATATGTCATGGAGGCAGCGGCCCGAAGGATGAGTGCCTTGTTGAGTCAGTAACCCAAAAAGGTGGGTGTATCGTAGGGGTAGCGGCCCGTAGAATGGGTGTGTCATGAATACATTGATATGAAAGGTTGAGTGTGTATGGTATGTAGTGACTCGAAAGTGGGCATGCCATAGAGGCAGCGACCCTAGAATGGGTGTGTCATGTAAACAGTGACCCGCGGGATGGGTGCATTATGGAGGCTATGACCTGAATGATGGGTTTGTCGTAAAGGAAGTGACCCAAAGGGGTGGGTGTGTCATAGAGGCAGTGACTCGGAGAGTGGGTGTGTCGTGGAGGCAGTGACTCGGAGAGTGAGTGTGTCGTGGAGGTAGTGACCCGGAGGGTGGGTGTTTCGTGGAGGCAATGAAATAGTAATTCGGAGAGTAGATGTATCTTGAAGGCAGTGACCCAAGGGAGACCTATGACACTTCGATGCAATGTCGTAAGAAAAGAAGGTTAAGTATTTTTTATTGGGGAGAATTACAAAACGAGTAAGCTTGATGTGCAAGTCATCCGATCACATGATGTGAATGTGTGAGATAAGTGCATGAGAACACAAATCCAAATGCACACAACTTCAAGCATGCAATTCAAACATGCAACATACCATGCAAGCAAATAATGTGAAAGCGCACAAGTGTAAGTGTGAACCACTCGTGACATGGTGCTAAGTGACATAAGGATGCCACAAAGTAGATAAATGTGCCACTAGGAGGCACAAATACTTGTCATGAGCATAGGGCATGTGCTTAAAGGTGCATGAAAAGAGTGCAAGTAATGAATGTGTTGATGCAAGGTCATGCAATCAATACTAATACACATGTAAAACACACACTATGCAAGTGGTTGGTTGTTCGACCCGCGGGGTCGACCGGGGCGGACAACCTGGGGTAATGTAACCAATTTTACCTTGAAACCAATTTTACCACATTATTATGTATTAGAATTTTTGTAGAAAAGTTAATTATATTGTTAGGGTCCTTAAAGAGACTGAATTATAGCGCAAAGTTCCCATACCAATTACAATCAAATAACCACAAAAAAGCAAACACACTGCACAAGTAAAGCATGCCAAAACAAAATAATAACAGACGGGTGTCTCTGGGTCATCAATATATCCCAAAAAAGCAAAAAGACCTGGGGTAATGTAACCAATTTTACCACGTTATGTATTAGGATTTTTGTACAAAAGTTAATTATACTATTAGGGTCCTTAAAGAGCCTATATTATAGCGCAAAGTTCCGAGACCAACTACAATCAGATAACAACGAAAAAGCAAACTCATTGCATAAGGAAAGTAAAGCATGCCAAAACAAAATAATAACAGATCGGGTGTCTCTGGGTTGGCAATATATCCAAAAAAGCAAAAAGACGGTCAGATACCGTATACACATAACTAAATGCTACACATATTGTTTGATTTGCTGAAAAGTAAGAACAATGTAAAATGTTTTCAGAGTATTGTTATTACAGTCTATTTAAAATACTTAATCCACTGCCATGACCTTCTACGACCGCCGCCGCACCACCCTCTTCCTCAAAAACGATATCCCAAACTCCATTCTTTCCGGCGGCTACATTCTCCTCGCCATCTTCTCAATCTTCACGGTTCCATTCATATTCCCCCAACTCAAACAACACCACATGCTCGTCGCTTATCTCATCGCCCCTCTCCTCGCCTTCTGCAACGCCTATGGCTGCGGTTTAACCGACTGGTCCCTCGCCTCCAGTTACGGAAAAACCTCAATTTTCATCTTCGGCGTATGAGTGGGAGAAGAATACGGCGGAGTTCTCGCCGGTCTCGCGGCCTGCGGAATCATGATGAGTGTTGTCTCCACGGCTTCGGATCTAATGCAGGAGTTCAAAACAGGGCATCTAACTCTAGCTTCTCCTCGATCCGTGTTTATCAGTCAAGCAATCGGCACGGCCATGGGGTGCGTAATAGCTCCGGCGATCTTCTGGTTATTCTACAAGGCCTTTCCTTTAGGCGCAGATGGGGCAGAGTACCCTGCGCCCTACGCCAAAGTATATCGGGGCATAGCTTTACTGGGAGTAAATGGGATATCTGCTCTTAAGAACTGTATAAGCTTCTGCTTCGCATACTTTATCTTCTCAGTGACCATTAATGAAGTGAAGGAGATGGCGAGATATAAAAAGTGGTGGTTTTGGGTGTATGTGCCGAGCGCAATGGGGATGGCGGTGCCGTTCTATTTGGGGTCGTATATTACGATTGATATGTGTGTGGGGAGTGTTATATAATGTTGATTTGGGAGAGAAGGGATAAGAGGAGACGGGAGATGTATGCAGCGGCGGCGGCGGCCGCGGCGGCGGGGATGATATGTGGAGATGGGGTTTGGTCGTCGCCGGCGTCGATGATGGCGGTGGGGAAGATTAATCCGCCAATGTGTATGATGTTTTTGTCTAGAGGTGATAATTTTAAGTTGGAGGCTTTGATCACTAGCCAAGCAAGTGGCCATTTTCTTAGAAATTCTCATCACGATAGCAAACAATACAACAACAACAAAAAATCACTAATAAAACAAGCTAATTTAACACAATTATTAACAAAATTCGAGCAGATATTCATCAAAGTAATCAAGAACTGCTTATTTCAAGTGAGCTTGGCCAAGGACAATGTCCATCAACCAACATATATAGATTAAAGAACTGGGGGATTTACATAAATATAAAACAATTCTGATGTATAGTTATATATCTGACATCTAAGTATTCACAATCATATCAAGATATATGAAAAAAAAGATATAAATTTTATTATATTTGTAATATGTTGTTAAATATTAAAAGGTTAAGTGTTAGATATCTAACACATACGAATTGGGTGATATGTATGTAAATCCCCCCAAAATACTATTATTTAAACCAGCAAAAATACATAAATATTTTCTGATACAAATCAAACCCTGATGTAAACATAATGGAAAATAATCCTACAAAAAAGGTGGAAAAAAGCATTAGTGACCGTTGCACTTGAGATGCCTATAAAACTCCATAGATAGTGAACCGCCTTAGTAAGTACTAACCATTAGTGACCGTGAACTTTCGGCGACAAGCAAACTGGGTCAAACTCGAGTCTCCTGCTTCTTAATCATGGAAAGATGTTTCCTCCCGTTAACATGCAACTCATATACGGCTTTACTGTTGCAAGCAATGTCACAAAGATTGCAAATCATTATGGATTCTTCAGCATCACCTCCTTGAACAACCTTTTCCCTCTCGACCTGCACACCCTCTTTACCTGAAGGTTTTTTCTTCAGTGATTCCAGATTTGCAGTTTCATTATGGCCAGCAGAAGCTGCAGATGGCTTTGGGGTGGTTTTTTCCTGCAAATTTTGCAGATTTGCCTTGTGTTTTTTGCCCATTTTGTGAGTGTATAGGGTTTGTTGGCCGTTGCAGTCTATCTTACAGACTTCACATGTAAAGGTTTGAAATGCTGACTTCTTGGCGTAGCTTGTTTTTTTTATATGGGCCATAACTTTTGGTGCCATGGTCGGATAACTTGTTCCGAGGGCCTGATCGAGTAAACCAAACAGACGAAGAATAATTATAACGATACAAATTATAATAAAGACAGTATGAATAATATACAAATTATAGCTTATGTGCATATTGCATGCTGGAGAACAATGTATATGAACATATTAAATCATTATATAAGTGAGGTTGTGGATTTTCAATAAGAACAATTATGAAAAGGAAAATTTAGAAAGATATTTTTATGAATTTAAAAAACCGGTGAAAGCACACTCAATCAAACATAATGTGAATTTAGAGAGATATTATCATGCATTGTGCATTATGCATTATGCATTATGTGGCAAATCTAAATTAAACTTAAAAATAAAGAAAAAAAATCAACAGATTTTATTTAAATTTTTTAGGATTTTTACATAACAACCAACCACAAAAATATTGAATATAACATTTTAACCAACCAAATTTTAAATATAAGTTTAACAACTTTTTTTATTACAGTCACCTCTTTTACCCACTAGTGAAGGCTTTGAGTGAGTTTTGGATGACTAAAATGTTATATTTAAAGCTTTCAGTGGTTAAAATGCTATATTTAAAATTTAGGTGGTTAAAATGTTATATTCAATATAATTTTAAAACCCCTAAAATTTTATCAGGCACTAGTTATCTAAATGTTGTTGAGAAATAATAGTAAATCATTTATAAAAATGGATCATTGTAAAGAATATATTCTAAAAAATAGGGGGCATTTACATACATAGCACGCAATTCTTATGTATTTACATATGTCACATCTAAACTTTCATATTTACACGCATAGCATTCAAATCCTTAATACCACAACAAAAATAACACTATTGCCACTTTTTAAACTTGAAGCACACCTTTTCATGCATAGGTTTAGAACAACAAGTGCTGTGTAGATAAATATGAAAGTTGAGTGAGATGTGTAAATACATGAAAAATTGTATACTACATATGTAAATTTCCCCCAAAAAAGCATACACTTAAAAGTAATAAGAAGCTTGAAGATTACCTTAAGAGCATGTTTTTCTCCTGAAAGGTGAGCGGCAAAAACTTTAGCACTGTTGCAAACTACATTGCAAACTGTACAAACTCTTACTGCATCAGCTGATACACCCCCTTCAATAACTTTCTGCTTCTTTTCCTCCAAATCCAAAATATTTGAATGGATCTTAAACTTTATTTTCTGATTAAAAAATGAATCAGATGGAAATTACACTTGTGAAGCTAGGAAATTAGAAGCCTTGCCAATATGAAACACAAACCAAGGACACAAGATTACTTCTGATAGAATATCACAACGCTAAAGAACCAATATTTATGCATTATACCCCGAAGCACTAGTTAAATCACAAGCACTAGCTCTGTAAGAATATTGCAAAAGTAATACAAAGAGAGTTGACTAGAGTTTGCTGTCTAAATGAAACTTATGCAATGCCATACGGGTCCCAGAAATCTTGAATTATTTCAAAATATTAATAACGAGTCATATCAAATAAGAGAAAACATTCAATCCATTGCCCGGGGAAAACATGGATTTGCTCTCACAAAAGAAACCAAGCTTATGAGCCTTGTTAGGTTTGTGATTCAGAATTACATAATGACGCAGTGTAATGCACGCTATTTGTTTTAGCCTTTGTGGTTCACAGGCAGGCGATGTGCAAGTTCAATGCACTGCTTTGCTTCACTACACGCTTTAAAATGCGAGTTTAACAAAAGTGTCTCAAACTTTCAGGTTGTTCCACTAATGAGCGTGTACCTCTACAAGTACGTGGCAAAGTCAGCAAGACTCTTAGCATAGTAATTTCAGGTAAAACTAAAAAGTGTCTCTGCTCAATCTATATGCCAACTTCATGCTTATCCTACAGTACTAAAAGAAAAAGGAGTATTAAATATGGGTATCCTACGACTGCTTTGAGGTACCATCAACCCTAATGAGGGGTACAATTATCAAAATATAGCAAGAGTTTATTTTTAAAGCCAGACTCTCAAACATAAAAGACAATCGCTTAAACCAAATTTTCCAAAGTGATGGTTGAAACTACTACAAATTATAATTGGAGTGAACCTTTAATAAAATGTTCTCTTAAACTCCCCAAAAAATACACTATAGTTCTCTTCTTCTTTTCTCAATGATGAGCACAAAAAAAGTAAAATCCTGTTTGGATGGAATTTCATTTAAATCTAGCCCATTTTATTGAAAAATATATATAATTCAATTCAACAACTAGATGTTCCTTGCTCAGGCAGCCACTCCTTTTTTTTTTATCAAAACCAAAAATCTCAAGGGAATGCCACACGCTACTTAGCTAGGTAACTAGTCCAGGTGCAATGGAGCTATTATTACAATTATGGTCCAAGCCCAGATGTTCACCAATGACCAAGTGTATAAATTTTGAACAATAAGAAGCAATCAAAAAAGCATAAAGCCATCTGCTAGCTAAAACCAACTTAAAATTAACCTCTTTAGCAGGCTCGAACTCTAGGCATGTGAGATGTCTTTGGACGACACAAATCATGGTAGCTCATAAGAATTCTTCAATTACATTGGATCAACTATAATAATTGACCAAGTAGTTTGGGGGCTACGACCATGTGATATGACAAAATCATAAAATTTTGATCAAGTTTGTTGCCATTTGCTCCAGAATCTGGATAGAGTCAATAGTAGTATACTCCTTGCATAAAAAAATTTTAAGTCGTCGCAAGAGGGCAAAATCAATAGGTCGAATCTTATCTAAAATATATCATCTACATTCTAAGAAGCAACCCAAAATTACTCAAATATTCAACAAAATATGCTAGGAATTGTAAGAGCCCACATCTTAGATCAAACCTATAATTTTCAGATCCCATATCTTTGATGTTAAGATTTTCAGTTGCTTGCTGTCTGAATTTTGCTCACCTTAGCATTGCATATTTCACCATCATGTACGCATTTCTAAGTAGCTAAAGGGAAAGAACCCA